CCCCATCCCAGACAGATATTTGCGACTGTTAATCCCATCCCATGCCCCCCCCATAGTTTCCCAGTACCGTCAGTCATTTTCTTATAGTATTACATTGGATGTTCAAGGTCCATTATGTGAGTGAGAACATGTGATACTCGGATCTTTGTTTCTGTGAGAGGTCATTCAGTATTATAACTTGGAACTTTTAAGTGATGAAAGCAGAGGACTCTGCCATAGTACATTTTGATAGTGTTTGTTAAGGCTTCTTCAGATCAATCAACTTCATTTCTTACTAATATAAATCAAGCTTGTTCCAGTTCCACAAGGACTCCACCACAGTCTTGAGGATGGAGAAAAATCACTGGTTTTCCATGTGCACCTATTTTGGCTTCTTTACTTAGACAACGGATCTTCCTTTCTTTCAAATCCATCAAAGCTGCATTTATATTATCCACCTGAAGAAAGGGAAATAAATAAGAGCATGTTATAATACATAAGAACATCATAAAAATATCAAATTATGGTATCTTAAGACTTAGAAAAAACTTTGAGAGTTTATACAGTCTATCTCCTCTGCCTTTGGGCAGGACCATCTAAAACCATCACAAAAATTCAGCCTAAAATTTCCAGAGAAGTAAAAGTTGCTAAATTTTTCTAGTTGCGCAACCACAGTGCTTAAGAATTGTCACCATTAATGTTTCCCCTTATGATCTAAATCATGTATGTTACACTTTATAAGTTTCTTCTGGCACTATTATTGGTGATTTTGGGCAAATTGCTTTTTTTCCCTGAGAGCAATGGATTCCTTAATTTGTAACAGGAAATGAGGTCTACCATATAAATTGACTATAGATTAAAAGATGATAAGCAGTTCTTAGTAGAGTTTGTGGCACACAGTAGGTACTTAGCAGATAAGTGTGTTTCCCTGACCCCCCCAACCTCACCCTGCCAAATCACCTGGCTATTGCTTTGAGATTAGAACTTGATACACATGAAAATCACTATTAAGCTGCCATCAAAATATTATTCTGTATCCAAAAAAATGCAAACTATAATAATTTTGAGACTGGAAGTGGTGGCTCACACCTGTAATCACAGCACTTTGGGAGATTGAGGTGAGAGAATTGCTTGACCCCAGGAGTTACAGACCAGCCTAGACAACACAGCAAGAATTCATCTCCACAAAAAATAAAAAGATTAGTCAGGCATGGTGGTGTGCACCTATAGTCCCAGCTACTTGGAGGGCTGAGGTTGAGGTTGTAGTGGCTTGTGATCATGCCACTGCACTCCAGCCTGGATGAGAGTGACACCTAACTAAAAAAAAAATTTTTTTTTTTTGCAACCCTCTTCTAAATCACTTATATTTCCTTCTTACTATGGACAGTCTAGAAAAAGTGTAAAAGTGTCTCTGTATACTTGATGGATAAATGATCCTCCTTTATCTTGGAAAGTTACCCTCTTAGACTGGGAACCTAATAAATGGATAGGCAGCCATAAATCTCCCTAGCATTTAATAATTGAGCAGCATTCCAAGCATAAAGAAAAGCACAGAGTATAGTATAACATCCATGTGCCCACCATATAGATGTAACAAATATTAATATTTATACAATCTTATTTCCAAAGAGTCAAGGATCACATACCTGATTCTAAAACTGGTCAAGCAACTGATGACAGATACTAAATGATTTCTTTTCATATGGCATACATTCTACTTTTATTCCTAATAATATTTCTTTGTAAAACTTCAAAGGTATAGCAAAGTCTTGCCTAGATCCTGACCATGGTTCATTTCATGCTGTCTTGTCCTATAGCTGGTCTGTTCTCATCTTTTTCAAACAGAACATGTAATACAAGCTCATGGCAGGAGCAACTCCACCTACTGGATAATCCTTAGTGAGGAAAATTAGTCCTTACTAACATCAGGCACTGTCAATTTTATCTTATTTTTAAGATTCCAGCCAGACGTGGTGGCTCACGCCTATAATCCCAGCACTTTGGGAGGCGGGAGGTGAGAGGATTATCTGAGTCCACAGGTTCAAGACCAGCTTGGGCAGCTTGGTGAGACCACATCTCTATAATAAATCAAAAAATTAGCTGAGCATGGTGGCATATGCCTATAGTTCCAGCTACTGGGAAGGCTGAGGCAGAAAGACCGCCTGAGCCCAGTAGGTCGAGGCTGCGGTGGCCCTGAGCGTGCCACTGTACTCCAGTCTGGGTGACAGAATGAGACTCTACTCAAAAAAAAAAAAAAAAAAAAAAAAGGATTCCTATCAATATTCTTGAGCCTTTTTTCTGCTTTGTTAAATAGGATTAGAGCAGTCTTTAGTCTAGGACTAATTTTCCTCACTACAAAGGTAAAGCCCTTCTGACCCCAGTGCTCCATGAATTACAAGGCTTTTCCACTACAAATGGTAAGAACAAACTACTCCCATCTCTGTGTGAGAATTGTTTCCTCTACTCCTTTCAAGGGGTTCTATTTCTAGCCTCAAGCAACGTCCTAACGTCCTTACACTACTCACATTCAGGCAAAGATATGAAAGCTACTGCTGGTCTCCTAAGCACACTCTGCACAGCTCTCACCTTGCCAGTATTTGACACTGTCAACTCTAATCACCATAACCTCCTCAAACTAGCAACTCCCGTCTCCTCAACTCAGGAAGACTGCTGAACCTCACATGGATTCCCCCTTCCTGCACTGCAGCCTGGAAACTCTCTCCAGCCAGGAAACTGGGGAACTCTAGGGTTCATCTTGGTTGTTTACCCCCTCTCAGACATCAATGTCCTGTGCTGCCTGGTGTCCAATGCTAGAAGACCATCGTTTCATGTATTTTGGCTAGGCTGTTTCAGAAAGGTCTGTTTGGTCTCTGTTACACCATCTTAGCTGGAATTCAAATTCTAAATTGGCAGGGCTTTTTGTTAGCACCCCAAAAATGTCATTACGTGTCATTCTATAATTTCTCTGTCTTTTTTTCTCTGACTGCTTCTGAGATTTTCTCTTCATCTTTGGTTTTCATCTTGACTATAGTGTGTTTTTATTTCTATTTGACCTATTTGACCTTGAATCTATAGTCTGATATCTTACATAAAATTGATAGTGTCCTTGTCAAATATTTGCTTTTGTTCTATTTTTTCAATCTTCCCTTTCTGGGACTCCATCTATACTCTACTAGAACTTTTGACCATATCCTACATTTGTCTTAAGCACTACTCTGTTTTCTATTTCTTTCAAATTTTTTTATCTCTTGATTTTGGATTTCTTGTTTCTAAAATTGTAAAAAGATAAATTCCTATTGTTTTAAGACACCAAGTTTGAGATAATTTATTACAGCAGTCCTAGGTAACCGAAATTGAACCATTAAGTAAATGGATGACTGATTGTGGAAGCCAAGTTTCTCCCTCACGGAATGGGAAGGGATAGAAGGAAAGAAGGTTACAGTGGTCCATGTGGTAATGGGTTAGAGCTGAAGATATTAGCATGAACTTAAGAGTTTAGGGGTATCATGTCTCATAAACTCAGTAACATAGTTACATATAGAAATATTTTATAGATATGTGTATATACATAGTTAGTGTACACACATGTATCTCCTTGCTGTGTTAGCTCAGCAAAGAACCAATGACATCCCATTAGCAATAAGCACACCTTCAGCCCAGACCTTGGCTTCTAACAACATTCTCCAATAATAGGAACCAGGACTCCTTGTTGGTTCTATGATTCTATGGCTATGGCAAGGAATACTGAAGATAAATTTGGAGCCTCTTGTGGTGCCAGAAAGAAAGATAGTGATAAAAAACAAAACAAAACAAAAATGATGGGGTTATGACAAAGGGACACAAGAATCAATCAACTGGAAAAGCTCCCAATGGCCAAAGCTGAAACTGTCTCAGGAACAAAAAAAAGTAGTATTAGATTATAACCTGAGGTATAAAATAAATATCCACAAGTCCATACTGATATAATTCCCCATTCTGTAAGTATGAGCCTCACATAATGACTACTTTCCAAAGAGTACAGTATGGAGAAGGAGAGAAAGAGGAAAAAAAAAGTTTCTTTGCAATGGAGAAACCTGACAACAACTCTGCTAGGAGATCAAGGTTAATACCAACAGTAATAAGGCATGTTGAAAGTATGTATTCCTGATATGTGATGAAAATGGCACTTTACATCTGTGGTCTTCCTCCCAAGAACCAATAACCCCAGTCTAAGTATAAGAAAAACATCAGATTAATGTCAACCGAAGGACACTTTACAAAATAACTGACAGAAATGCCCCAAAGTGTCAAGGTCATCAAAAACAAGGAAGAAGTCTAAGAAACTATCACTTTCATGAGGAGTCTAAGGAGATATAATGACTAAATATAATGTGGAATCCTAGATGAAATCCTGGAACAGGAAAAGGACACTGGTGAAAACTTAAGGAAATCTTAAAGCATAGATTTTAGCTAATAACAATGAATCAATATTGGTTCATTAATTATAATAAATGTAGCATGCTGATGTAAGACGTTAATAACTTTTAAAAAAGAGTCTAAAGAGATTAACCACCACTTTTAATGAGCAGACCTTGTTTGGATCCTGACTAGAACAAACCAACTATAAAGACATGTGTCAATCAATCTGGGAAGTTCAATTTATGGACTGTGTACAGATGGTGCCAAAATATTTACCTTTATTTTTGATTGGTAATATCATTGTGATTGTTTTATTTCTTGTAGACTCAAACTGAATAAAGGTAAAATGACGTGCTGTGAATTTAAAATAGTTTAACAGAGAAAAAAGATGAAGTAAGTGTGGCAAGATCTTGAACACTGTTGTACCTGGGTGATGGGAGAATGGGAGTTCATGACACGATTTTTTCCCTACTTCTCATATCTTCAAACATTTTCATGATATAATCGTGACTTTTTTCATACCTTTTGATAACTCCTCTTCTAGATATGATAATATTTCCATTTATGGAATATTCTATTCAAATACAAATCTCTACAATTTGGTTGCTGCATCCCAATTTTTTTAGTATACTGCTTCTTCAATATCTTTTTTTTTTTTTGAGTTGTAGTCTCACGCCATCACCCAGGCTGAAGTGCAATAGCACACTCACGGCTACCCCAGCATCGACCTGCTGCACTCTGGCGACCCTTCCACCTCAGCCTTCCAAGTAGCTGGAACTACAGGCACGAGCTACCACGCCCGACTATCAATATCTCTTAATCCAAGTAATACTTCTAAGATTTAATAAGCTAGATTTTTGAAAAATGCAGAAGTGACACCATACTAGCATCTATTTTTATTTCTGCGAATATTTCTATCATGAACTTTGATTTTAAAGATCTTGTACCACATTCATCCTTCTGTTAGTGTTGCTATAAAATTTACAATTCTTTAAGAGTACTCCTAATGTTTTGTTTGGTAGAAATAAAAATAATGAAATTAAAATGCCTTAATTTTCTG